GCCCAGACCTCTGTGATCTGGATCCTCGGGCGTTTTTCTTGGCCCCTCTGGGCCCCTGGATGCAGGGGGCCTCGGAAAGTCTGCGGGCCCCGAACTTCTCGAGCCGCGTGCGCAAGCCCCCCCTGAGGATGTTCAGTGCCAACTCACGGGAGCCTCTCAGACCATCTTGTTGGCTCGTGCGAACCGACGCTGCTCGACGCTACATCGACGTTAATCAACGCTACTCGACGCTGTTCGACACTGCATCGGCGCTGTCTCATCGAGTACCCGACGCTAATCGGCGCTCGCGCGCTCGAAAGACGCAACTGCGAGGGTACACAAGGCCCCCGTGACTTGCTTAGGTCCTCCTACAGGCGGAGTTTGGAAAAATAGTATTACTCCTGAGAAAGCCCAATCAGTGGATGATTTGAAAATCGATATTATGGATCTTGAGATCGATTGTGAGATCGATGATGAGGTCGATTGTGGGATCGATAATGAGGACGATTGTAAGGTCGACCGTGAGACCGAGAGTGAAACCGATTCAATGAGATAGATAATGAGATCGATCGCGAGATCGCTCATGCGATCTCTAGTGAGATCGCTTGTGAGATTGATAATGAGGTCGATTGTGAGATCGATGGTGAGCCCGATCGAGAAGTCGGTAATGAGATCGATGGTGAGACCGATCGATAAGAAGATCGACCAAGAACCCAGGAACCCGGGAACTTCGCCGCCCTCCGAAATCGGCCTGGAACCCAGAACCGGGAACCGGGAACCCGGGAACCGAGGCGTGCGACCAAAATCGGCGGGGCGCTTTCGCCAAATCTTTCAACATCCGCGAGGACCCCTTCAGTGCAAGCACTGATTGGGGAACATTGAATGAGATCCGGAATGAACTCGACAATGAGATCGGTAGTGAGATCGATAATTAACCATCAACCCAGAACCACTGATCAGAAACCCGGGAACTCAGAACCGGGAACCAGGGAACCAATGAGATCCGTAATGAACTAGACAATGAGATCGGTGAACCATCGGCCCGGAACCAATGACCAGGAACCCGGGAACCCGGGAACCTGGAACCGGATATCCGGGAACCCAGCGTGCCACCAAAATCGGCGAGGCACTTTCGCCAACTCTAGCAACATCCGCGAGGACCCCTGCAGTGCAAGCACTGACTGGGGAATAACATAAATAGGATAATGCGCAACCGCAGCCAGAAACAGGAGAAAAATTGTCCCTTGACTTCTTGTTGACTATGTTTGGATATTCCTCCTTCAGAAGGACAGGCCCGACTTAAGACGTGCTACTGCCCGCAGCCCCTGCCCCCCGGGGCGTACTGGCAGGCACAGGAGCCTTGATGGGCCCATTGTCCACCATCACTACCATAGGTACGGCGGGGAAGAAGGCAGGATGGGGAGGTCCTCCTCCTCCTCCCCCTCCCCCTCCTCCTCCTCCTCCTCCTCCTCTTTCTCCTGCCTGTGGTAGTGGTGGTGGACGATCGACCCATCAAGTCTAACAGCGTCGCAGTATGCTCGACGCATGTGGAAGCCGCTTCTTGTCTCCAAAGGGGGGGCCACAGGGAGCACGCGGGATCAAAAGGAGGCGCAGCCATGACATTGCCAGAAGACACGCTGTGATCGTTGTCTGTTTTGTGTTTTTTCTCCACAACAAACGAAGCCCCAAACAACATGTGCTACACCACGTCGTCCCGCACAAACGGAACCAACACGGCGGCGGCCACGTCGTTCCTCTGTGATCGTTTTCTTATCCCTTGTTTTGCCGATAGGCGCGGGCCCTCGCCCCCCCCCCCTTCCTGCCCCCCATGGAGTGGATCTTGGCTGTTTCTGGCGCCTGTTTCGAGCAGATGGAGTCTCCACCCCAGAGGACGCACTGCTGCAAACAGTCGCACTCGGCAGAGGTCCGGAGCAGGACCCCCCCCCTCCCCCCCCCTTCCGCCCAATGTCGCACCGCCGAGTTCGAAAACGCTCAAGAAGGAACCTAGCCTCTGTTTTCAGAATCAAGTCAGGCGTTGCCCGAGGAACGGCCACCTCCTCCTCCTCCTCGTCCTCGTCCTCCTCCCTCCCTCCCTCCCTCCCTCCTCCTCCTCCTCTCCTCCTCCTCCTCCTCTCCTCCTCCTCCTCCTCCTCCTCCTCCTCCTCCTCTGGAGAGGCGCTCCCTCCTCGCTGCCCCCTCGCCTTCCTGGCAGCGGCCCCCTCCTCTGCCGAAGAGCCCGGGCCGCGCGCCTCCCTGCAGACGTGCGAGGGAGCGCAGGCAGACCCACGGGACCGCCGAAGCCTTCGGTGGCAGCTCCTTAGGGCGACGATATCTATGCATATCAACTGCTCCCGGCCAGGCCAATCCTGGGCCCAAGAGCTGTGTATACGCTCTCCTGGCTTGGCCAGGGAGGCATATACACCGCTCCTGGGCCCAGGATGGGCCTGGCCAGGAGCAGTGGATATGCATAGATCTCGTCGCCCTACTCCTGGGAGCCTCCCACACCATCTCGTCGGCTCCTGCGAGTCGACGCGGGATCGACGCTGGATCGGCGCTAGTTCATCGACTCCCAGGCGCTGCTCGACGCTAGGACAGGAGTGCGAGGGCAAACGAGGCTCCCATGATTTGCTGCCGAACGGGCCCCAGGTCGGGCATGTCCTCCTACAGGCGGATGTCGGTCGAACAATAAACTAGTCAAAAACATATTCAAAAAGAATAGAAAATGGTGAAAAACAGTCGTCCCCAGACTATTTGTCAGCAGTCCTCCCGTAGAGGGACAGGCCCGACTTATAACGAGCCCCTTCCGAGCCTGAACTGGACCTTGCTTCAGCGCCATTGCTGTACTCTGGAGCGCGCTGGGACTTCCAGGGACCCTGCTTCCACGATAATACAATCCCTGCGGCGTCGGCGTTCTGGCCCCCCCCCCCAGCTTCGAGGACGCCCATCAGGCTCTCAGCGCGCCAGCGCGCGCGCGCTGATCTTTCCCCCCTGGGCCATCCTGTGGTGTTGGGTCCTAGTGCTGAAGCCAGATGGAGAAATCACGACGGGAGGTTTTTTTCTCTATCTTCGGCCTCTCGGAGCCCTTACCAGGCCTCGGGAGTGTCAAACATCGACTCGGGATGAAAAACCGGTCCCGGGGAATGGGTCGAGACCCCTGGAGGCCGACGTTATGAACAATTCATGACGTCGGGGGTCTTGGAACCCGCCGCGCCCCGCGTCTCACGCCTCCCTCTGCCCCCCACTCCATCCTTCGCCCTCCGCATGCACATGTCGACGCACCCGTCACACGCTTCGTGGCCCCACAAGGGGGCTCCACCTGCGGTCTCAGTGGGCGCGTCTGCATGGCAGCGCCGTGCCAATCTCAACACACCGCTCACACGTTTGGTGGCCCCGTGAGGGAAATCCACCTGCTGTCCTGGCTGGCGCGACCGCATGGCAGCGCCGCTCCCTTGTCGGCACCAGCCTCACACGTTTGGTTGGCCCTACAGAAGCTCCACAAAAGATCTCGATGGACGCGGCCGCATGGAGGCGCGGCCCTCTTTTCGGCACACCCCTCACACCTTCTCTAAGCCCATGAGGAGCTGCATCTACTCTTTCAATGGGCTCTACCGCAAGGCGGCGCCGCCCCCATCCCGGCACACACCTACACCCGTCAAACGTTTGGTGGCTCTTAGGGGCTCCGCTTACGGTCCCAGTGGGCGCGGCCGCATGGCGGCGCGGCCCCCTTTTCGGCACGCCACCACCCACACGATTCGCGGCCCGTAGGTTGCTCCACTTGATAGCCCAGTGGGTGCGACCGCATGGCGGCGCCGCCCGCATTGCGGCGCACGCTTGCACGTGTCGCGCTCTTTTAGGGAGCTCCACCTGAAGGCCCAGTGGGCGCGACAGCATGGCGGCGCCGCCCCGATTTCGGCACACCCCTCACACGTTCGGTGGCCGTTAGGGAGCTCTAAACTACGGTCTCGGTGGGCGCGACCGCATGGCGGCGTCGCCTCCGCTTCGGCACACCCATCAAACGTTTCGCGCCCATTGCGGCCTCTAGCCGGCCCCGCAGCGGCGGGAGCTGGCCTCCCAGACCCCTTTGGTCTGTGAGCTCTTGGAGAACGCGTGTCGCCGCGGCGACCCCGGCGACGCGCTATGTCATGCAAGCGGACAGCTTGTGGCACCGTTTCCCGGGGCGAGAGGCAGCCCAACCCCCCTCGCGTTGTGAACAAATCACGACCGGGCAGTTTCTGCTCCTCCTCCCCCTCCTCCGCCTCCTTCTCCCCCTCCTCCTCCTCCTCCCCCTCCTCCTCCTCCTCCTCCTCCTCCTCCTCCTCCTCCTCCTCCTCCTGCTCCTCCTCCTCCTATTTTCGGCCTCTGGGGGCCCTTATTGACCCACCAGGAAGCCCCAGCGATGGCCCCAGCAAGCGCGACCGCTGGGCCCCGCCGCGCCCATGCTGGCACAACCTCGCGCGCCTCGCGCCCCGTCAGGAGCACCAAAGGCGGATCGGTGGGCGCAAACTTCGGGCACCACCGCGCTCATTCCAGCGGGCCGCTCTCGCCCCTGAAGGAGCTGTGCGGTCTCAGCGCGCGCGGACGCATGGCGCATGGCGCCGCAGCACCATACTGCCCCGAGGACCCGCCATGGAGCCCCGGAGGCCAAAACACAGGAACAGCACAACAGCATATAATCAGAACCGTCCCCTTGACTTCAATTTTTTTTTCCACGGCCCCCTGGACCCGAATCCGAAACGGGCCCCGGGATGCCAGAACCGAGCGATGCGATGCGATGCCACGACCGTTGCGGATAGCGTCCAGGCCCAGCTAAGACCAGGTGGGTGCGGCCGTGGTCTCGAGAATCTGGCTTGTCTGGGCACGTGCAATTCGAGACACATACAGAGTTGGGAGGAGAGGAGAGAAGGAATAACAATCAGAAGATGAAGAATAATGATGCTCAGAAGGAGAAGCAGAATTCCTTGGCGTCGGTGTCGGCGCGAACCGAAGGAAACAAAAAAGGAACACAACACAAACATCCGCACCCGCCCGCCGCGGCCTCGCAAGCGCGGCCGCCGCCGGCCGGCTGCAGCTCGACGGTCCGCTTGCGCGACCGCTGCGTGTTCGCCTCGGCCGCCGCGTGTTCGCCGCGGCCGCGGGGCCGCGCCGACGTCGCATCGTCTCGGCGTCGGCGTCGTCGTCCTCGCCGCCGTCGTCCGCCGAGTCCTCGCCCCCCTCCTTGACCTTCTCCTCGCCCTCGTCATCCGCCTCCACGCAATCCGCCTCGTCAACCCTCTCCTCCCTTCCCTGGTCAGCCTCCAACCAGTACGTAGCATCGTCGTCGTCATCGACCTCCTCCTCCTCCTTCTCCTCCCCCTCCGAGCACTACTCTTGACGGTGCAAGCTACATCATGGCACGTGGTCTATGTCACGGACAAGAGTGGAGTGGCCGATGGCTGGGCCGACCGACGGCATTAGGTCGCCGTTAGGGCCTGATGCCGATCTGTGGTGGCAATTGTGTGAGCAGTTTCGAGAGCGGGACGAGGCATAAATTTGTTGTGTTGTTCATCGGTTCACATCTCAATTTGCACGAGTTTGCCAGGTGCTCAGCGCCAGCGTGTGTGGTGCATGGATACACAGCTGCTGATATGCTTGCCAAGGCTGCCGCCAACCGAGTCCGTTTCCCCGAGGATAGGAGGTTCGCGTGCCAGGATATTGAGCGTCAAGGCTTCTTGTGCGAGCGAAGCTGGTAAGATCCACGACTGATACCTTGGAGTGTGAGCAAGAGCTGGAAGGAGGCGCCCCTAAGAAAACTTCTGAGAGGCCCAGTCCTCCCCCTGCTCCGTCGGTTTTGCGTGTGCTCACTGCCTCCCATGTCTCAACTGATTCTGGGCGTGGATGTCTTAGGTGCTGCAACTCCGCTACCCTAGCCACTCGTGCCGTGTGGTGTGACAGTCCGTGTTCTGAGCCCCGTAACATTGACGGGGTTTTGTTTGGATTGCCGACAGGGGTACATCTGCATATAGCAGGGGCGTTTGGTGCACAGTGGTCATTGGATGTGTCTACGTAAGGGACTGAACTTGTGGTTTGCTGTCTATGTGGGCATTTCGCCAGCCAGGTTTGCGAGGCCTCGGGCAGTCGTGCCATGAAGACACGAATCCCAATCGACCAGCATATCTCTCCAACATTCTCGCAGGGCGCTGGCCTAAGGTCCGCAGCCGAGCTGAATTTGCTTGTCGGGCTTCGTAATCCACCGAACTAGCTTCGCGACCGTCGTCACTCACTCGCTCACTCGCTCACTCACTCACTCCTCCTCTTCCTTCTCCTCCTCCTCCTCCTCCTCCTCCTCCTCCTCCTCCTCCTCCCCCCTTTTTTTGTAAAAGACAACGTTGCCCTCCTCCTCCGCCTATTTTCTGTAAAAGAAGGAGAAACTGACACCTCTTGGAAATACTCTGGATGCGGCCTCCATGCCCATGAGAGATCGACAAGTTTTCGGGACTCTGTTCTGTCGGCTTGCCCCGCCCGGGCTCCCAAGCCTCCCGTCCCGCTCCCCGGGGCTTGTCCCGCCCCTTGCGCCCGATGCCCCCGTGAATGAAGGGCTGTGGCGTCGTTTGGGTTTGGAGGATCCGCGAGTTGCCGACCCTGCCACTTCAGCGGGCAAACAATTGAGCGACGTTCCAAGGCGGGTCTTGCGCGAAATGACGCAGCGACCTTACGCGGCGGCTGACGCAGGCCGCCTGCGCGGCACGCCACATTGGAGACGAGGGCGCTTACGCACGAGCTTACGCGGGCAGCTGGCGCGCCCATGTCGGCGAAGACGACACCGACTTGTTTGTTGTTTGTTTGTTTTTGCTGGTTTAATATGGCCATCACTATCACGGCCACTATCAATGTTCTGATTACAGTAACAAGAACCATAGCAATAAGAATCTATGTGTACACACAAGAAGACGCTCAATGTAATTCAAATCACAAGCTCTGGTTTAGAAAAGGCTTTGTCTTTCGTGGCCTGTGCGGGCCCTGGGCCGCTCGGGGACCGGTCAGCCTCCCGGTTGGCTGCCCTGCGGCCCTCGAGGGCCCGCACGGAGGCTCCCCGAAGCAGCTGCGGGCGCTCCAGGCGGGGGGCGCGCGGACGAGCGCAGCGCACAAAACAGTCGAGGAGGAGCAGGAGGAGGATGAGGAGGAGGAGGATTAGGATGAGGAGGAGGATTAGGATGAGGAGGAGCAGGAGGAGGAGCAGGAGGAGGAGGAGCAGGAGGAGGAGGAGGAGGACGAGGATCAGCCATCCGCGGACGAGCGCAGCGCACAAAGCAGTCGAGCTGGCGCTGGGCCACGGCGGGGCGAGCCGCGCACGAGAGAGGCAGGCGGGGAGACCAGGGAGGGAGGTGCGGCCACGCAGCTCGGAAGAGGAAAGGCTGCGCCATCAGAACGAACGCGGCGCGACGACGACGACGACGACGACGACGGCGAGGGCGGCGGCGGCGGAAAATAAGACACGCACGCTCAGCAGCCCCGATACGCAACACGCGACCCGTAGCGTGTTGACACGGAGCTCAGCACGCACATTGCAGACGTACGCCTGGCCGGGCACGTTCGCCAAACCGCCGGCCAGCACGTGGGGCCAACACGCAACTTGTTCAGGACGGACGTCTTAAAGACACTACGAAATGCGTTTCAGCACGGGCGTACCAAGGCAACTCAGCACGCACGCGGACACTCGTATTAATCTTAAGGCGTTTTTAGTGTTGAATGCCCCTCTGATCTCCTGGCGGTACATAAAACTGGCCCCATAACCTACTCGTTGCGGCGGAGATCCGTGTCCCTTAATTGTGAGGCGGGCTGGGTAATGTTTGGGGGGCATATTTCTCCAGCGGAATAATCTACTGTGGGCAATCTGCACACGGGAGGATGTGAAATCATCTCATCATGAGGACTGCAATCGGAATTGCTTCCATCGTTTTGATTCGCGGATTTGCTCAAGCTCGGTTGCCGAGCACTGCGGGCAGAACTCCTGCTGGCGCCTGGTCAGCACGCGCGGCGACGTGGGAGAAGTTTCCCTTTCTTGCTGGGCGGGCTGGGTAATGTTTGGGGGCGATTCTGCAGCAGAATAATCTGAATAATAATAGTAATTGTAGGCGACCCTGCACGCGGGAGGAGTTGTAAGCATCTTCTCATGAAGACTGCAATCGGAGCTGCCTCGTTTTGGCTCCCGCCTTTGCTCGAAGTCGGATGCCCAACACTGCTGGCAGAACTCCTGATTGCGCCTGATCGGCGCGCGCGGCGACATTGGATTAATTTCTCTCTACTGTTGGGCGGGCAGGGGTAATATTTGAGGATTATTTCCCCAACGCAATCATCTAGTGTGAGCTACCACCCTGCACGCGGAAAGCTTTGTGAGCATCTTCTCATTAGGAGTGCAGTCGGACTTTCTTCAATTTGATTCGCGAGTTTGCTCAACGTCGTCTGGCTAGCACTGCGGGCAGAGCTCCTGCTGGCGCCTGGTCCGCGCGCGCGGCCAACATGGCGACTTTTCCAATGCTAGTTTTGTATTGTCCACGCGACAGAGGATGGATTTTCTGAGGGCCCGCGCGGGGCCTGAGCTTCAACAATCCTTCTCAGGATGGAGCTTTCAGGATAAAGTTTCTGAGCGCCAAGTGCCTGAACCAAGACTTTCCATGAGAGCGCTGCTGGCGGGCACCACGGGGAAAGACACATTGAGCTCTATTGGTGGGACACCAGTCCGGCCGAACAAAAAACAACTTGTTTGGGGGGGTTCAAGACCCCTTTGGGTTACATCCCTCGGCTTGGTGGGCACTCGGGTCACCGCTGACATCGGCGATGCATCGGCGCCATCGGCGTGCGGAAAGGCAGGCTCCGCATCGAGAAACCTTATCGATGCATGGTCGATGCGGCGCGATCCTCCGACCCCACCTGCTCGGGCCCCATCTGGGAGGCCTAAAATCTCTGGCCACCGCTGGCATCAAAAGTCAGGGCTCCTCCCTGGGACGCCACGGCGCCACCTATGCGCAAGTGGCAGGAGAGCCCAGGGCACCTGGCACCTACACTGAGCATCGTTTCGCCAATGCCCACCCCCAGCGGTGTGGCCTGGTCCCCACTGGCCGATTTACTCCCCTAGATGGGGACACAGGCCGTCCCCTTCGGGTTTCGAAGGGTGTATCCCCAACTGGGGTGGTCATTTGGTAGGGGTCTCGAAGGGGATGAGGACGGGGATGGGAGTCGGTTAAACGATACTGATCCCTGGGACGCCACGGCGCCACAGAGGCGCAACTGCCAGGAGAGCCCCGAGCGCCTGGCACCGACACCCGCGCCTGCGAGCACACGAGCGCAGGCGCGCTCGCACAAGTGCGTGCAGCCGCTCGCGCGCAGGCGCGGGCACCAACGCGCGCGCGCGCGCGAAGGCTCCTCGATGGACCGCCGGGCCATCCCGGAGACGCAAGGCGCAAGGACCACTCAGGGGAAAGAGGAGGGGGAGGAGGAGTGGGGGGAGGAGGAGGAGGAGGAGGAGGAGAAGAGGAGGAGGAGGAGGAGGGAGGAGGAGGAGGAGAAAGAGGAGGGAGGAGGGGGAGGTAGGGAGGAGGAGGAAAGTCGAAGGGAGGTGCATGAGGGAGGAGGATGAGGAGAAGGAGGAGGAGGAATAATAATAATAATAATAATAATAATAATAATACTAATAATAATAATAATAATAATAATAATAATAATAATTATAATAATAACAATAATAATAATAATAATAATAATAATAATACTAATAAGAAGAAGGAGAAGAAGAGGAAGAGGAGGAGGATAAGGAGGAGGAGGAGGAGAAGATGGAGGAGGAGAGGTGGAGGAGCAGGAAGAACTGAAGCGCAGGATCGGACAGGGCGGGGCAGGGCAAGGATGATGAGCCAGGGCGGGAGCCCAGGGGAGCCGAGCAAGTCTGGGCGGAGCAAGATGATATTCCACATATTTGTAGCACAGCAGAGACACACGCAATGAACAACACTCACCCGCGGCCTCTCTTGGGAAACTCCTCGGGCAACTTGAGAGCCGTCGGGGGGTCCACCCTTGGAATCGGCTTTGTGCCGTCCTGCGGCCATCTTGGGGGAGTCCTGGGCTCTCCTGAGG